TGGTTATTTGGGAAATTGCTGCTAAGTGTACTACTCCTTTTGCAAAGATTAACGGTTGGGATTTAGTATTACACATTATTAAAAAAGAAAAAGAAACTATATCAAATGGTACTCCGCAAAATATCCGCAACATCATCGAAGGATGCTGGAAGAATAAACCTAATGAGAGAATAAGTCTAGAAAATATACTCAAAATGATTGAAAAAGAAGACATCTTAAGAAAAGCAATAAGAGAAAAAGAAAAACAATTAGATGAACTAATCAATGAAGAAAGTGAATATTCAAAGGCTTTATTAGAGCCATTAATTAAAGCCCAAAATCAGGAAGAATTTCAACAGGGTAAGGATAATTTAAAAGGAAAGTCGCAAGAGTTTGAAAATATTTTTCAAATAAAGGAAGAAATTATTGAATTAAAAAAACAGTTGGGAGATATAAAAGCAAATGATGAGAAATTTCAAGATGCTAAATTAAGTCCTCAACTCATCCATACTACTAGTGGAATATTAGGTTCTCAGATTAAGGAAGAGAAAAATAATTATTCAACAATACTTACTCCTGAAAACACTAGTAAAGTTTGTATTATTGATTGAGACCGAGAACAGCAATTTCATACACAAGTAGAAGTTCCTCCTAAAAATAACTAAAAAAGGCAAAACTTATTGTTTTCATTAATAAGTCCTTTTAAAATTTGTCAGATAGGCTAGTTTTTATTTTCTGCTAAATATTTGGTTCTTAATTCTTCCCGCTCTTTTTTAAAATCAAATTCTCCCAGTTTTAATTCCTTCATCTCACTTTGATATCTCTCCCTAATCCTCCTCATTATCCCAATCACCGCTACTCCACAATCATAGAATTATTTTGCTTAACGTCATATTTTCTAATTAAATACTTTTCTAAATCAAAGTTATTAGTCTGCCAAATTTGCTTTAACAACTCTCTCACCAATGTCCTCGCATACTTATCATTTGCCCCCGCTAAAGTATCCCGATGTCAAAGCTTTTTACTCTTCCCCTCATAAACCAACAAACTTCAATGATAATTAGTTTGATTGACGGGTATAAAAATTAGTTCTTTGCTACTTTTACTTCTTTCAATAATTCTTTAAAAGCCAAATCTACCCCCGCTTCTTTTTCCCTCCTCACTTCCACAACATAATGAAATTGGTGAGCGGGTAAGATTTTAAATTTACTCAAAGTCGGTTGTCCCGGAAAAGAACCGGGCATTTTCTGCTCCTTCTCCATCCTTGCGGTAGCCCAATCAATCTCTTTATCAGTTAGTCATCTCCCTGCTTTAAATCATTCTTTATTTTGTTCGGCTTCACTTTCCTGTCTTGCCTGCTCCTTCTGTTCCTCCCAGTCATTAACTTCCTCAGTCGATTTATTTTTCTCCGGTTGAGATGGAGAACTAAAGCAGATAATCCCCAATAGTAGTAAAATTATTAGTAATAGTAAAATTATTGTTCCTACCATACTTTATTCGTCCGCTAATTTACTCCAAATTCAGCCTAAAACTACAATTACCAAAACCACACCTGCCCCATAAAAAACAGGGGTTTTAATAGTCTCTCAAAAACTTTTTTCTGCGACAATTT